TTTAATGAAGATTTTTTTATTGTCACAGTTTGATACTGATGATTTCTTGTGAACACTCCTTTAGTTTGATCCCAGTGACAGTATCTTCCTCGCTGGCTCCATATCTCTTTATAGAGTAATCAGTGGTTTGCTGTCTCTCACCATCAAAACACTACATAAATCCCACGATTGACTTCCTTATAAATCACTGAATCAGTTACTTTCTAAATGAAGCTTCGAATGTCACTGATCACCTTCCTCTGGTTATACGAATCAAGCCTCGACACAGTGCTTCTGAAGCAATGTGTTGTTTTTTCTGACACACATACTGGAGCCTCAGGTTCAAGTGGGCCATCACTATTGTTGGCCACATGTCAGCAAAGTTATGTGACATCAGTGATGTTGATACTTTCTGCGTTAACTTGGTTTTAAAGCTTTGACTTTAAAATAGACACTGTTCAAAAGTTGATCTTAATCTTACAGAGAATATAATGATATTATGGATAATTAAAGTCAGTCATATATCCACAAACACATTAAGCTGAAAGTCAATGAATGCTGCTGCAGATGTTAGTAAATCTGACCCTAAATGTTCCTTTTTCTTTAACATTCAAACGTTGTAATGAAGGGATATTTTAACAAGCTGTTCTCGTTTATATGACTTCCATAAAACAACAGGGTTAGAACACATTGTGACGAAGTAAGATGTTTGTTTTGTAGTCCATCTTCAGCACAATGTAGTTTCAACAGGCGGACATCCGGTGTCACATTGTTACAGAGAGACGAGTGTAAGGCTGTTCCAATTCTCAGCACCGCTCCTCTCTTTCCCTGAGTCCTTAGTGTAACATATGTGTTAAATACTTGTGAATTTCACCCAAAACACTTTCTTTTTTTGGATTAAATATGTCATTTTTGCATCTCACTCTCCTACCTGTGTGATCTGAGTCTGTGTGTGTTCATGTGCGTGTGTGCGCTGCGTGGTGACGTAGGCGCGTGCATGTGTGCCCCGGTCACAGCTCCTTTCAGCATGGCCGGAGGTAAGTCACTGCCACGTTGCTCTCAGCTAATTAAAGTTTGTTCGGATCCCAAGCTGCAATGTGAATACAGCCGAACCGCCGCGTTTTTGTTTGTCATTAAGAGACTCATTCGGGATAAGTTTTGTGGAGGACGGAGTTCACTAATATACACTTATAATGAGCTATAGCCGAGAACGCAGCTAAAATGCTAGCATGCTAAGTTAGCCTGATCGCTAGCGGCTTGAGAGCGTACTCGCGGCAGTCTCTCTTTTTTTTTAACAGCATGCACTCTTTTTTTCCTTCGTCAGGAGAGGTGTACTGGCAGTCGCGTGACACACACAGATCGAACACATATTTCTGTGTTGCAGGTATGGAGATGTTCTTATGTTTTGGAGATGCAGTCTTTCATTTATTGTTCTTATAAGTTGTTTTGATGTTTTTTCAGTAACATATTATTTATTTTGTGCTTTTTGTTTTTGAGAGCTTAAGTTAATGTTATAAAACAATTTGTTGTATTTGATTCGTTACATTAATGTACATTAATGAAGCTGCAGACACAGCTCCTTTCAGCATGGCCGGAGGAGAGGTGTACTGGCAGTCGCGTGACACACACAGATCAAACACATATTTCTGTGTTGCAGATGTGCAGTAAAGAGCCAAAGACCCAGTACTGTCTCCTGCCTCTTACTTTCACGCCAGAACACAACGCAGAACAGCAGGCGTAACACATGAACGGGTTACATTAGCAATTCTCCTTCCCACGATGACGTTTTCTTCGAGGCCAAGGAAAAGAGTTTGGGAAAAGGAGATAGGCCCTAATTTTGAAATTTTAAATAACACCCACTGGGTTACGTTGTCCAGCTGAGTCACGTGGCCGCACAGCAACAAATCACAGCAGAGCCGGAAAAGGAGGCGGAGCAAAGTGTGTGTGCAGGAGAGGAGTCGAGCAGAGAGAGCTGCTTTTTCCATGAAACGGGAGTAAAGTAGTAAACGTACAGGAACATATACCACTACCAACGTTGGGATTAATATCTGCATCGATCTCCACACCCTTGTCTCCTGGATCGTAGCTCAGATCAGCGTGAACCACGTAGGTCTCTGCTCCCTAATCTGTTTCTTAAGACTTCCAGCTTCATCACGGAGTTTCTCTCGGTTTTTGGGCTCATCTAAAGGTAAGCACCGAGCTAAATTTAATGTGGGTTCAGTTTATGTTGAGTTTAGCTCTGTTGAGAAATAATAGATTTCTTGCTAGTTATTAAAACAATTTGTTGTATTTGATTCGTTACATTAATGTACATTAATGAAGCTGCAGACACAGCTCCTTTCAGCATGGCCGGAGGAGAGGTGTACTGGCAGTCGCGTGACACACACAGATCGAACACATATTTCTGTGTTGCAGATGTGCAGTAAAGAGCCAAAGACCCAGTACTGTCTCCTGCCTCTTACTTTCACGCCAGAACACAACGCAGAACAGCAGGCGTAACACATGAACGGGTTACACATTCCCCACGATGACGTTTTCATCGAGGCCAAGGAAAAGAGTTTGGAAAAGGAGATAGGCGAAATTTTGAAATAACACCCACGTGGTTACGTTGTCAGCTGAGTCACGTGACCGCACAGCAACAAATCACAGCAGAGCCGGAAAAGGAGGCGGAGCAAAGTGTGTGTGCAGGAGAGGAGTCGAGCAGAGAGAGCTGCTTTTTCATGAAACGGGAGTAAAGTAGTAAACTTACAGGAACATATACCACTACCAACGTTGGGATTAATATCTGCATCGATCTGCACACCCTTGTCTCCTGGATCGTAGCTCAGATCAGCGTGAACCACGTAGGTCTCTGCTCCCTAATCTGTTTCTTAAGACTTCCAGCTTCATCACGGAGTTTCTCTCGGTTTTTGGGCTCATCTAAAGGTAAGCACCGAGCTAAATTTAATGTGGGTTCAGTTTATGTTGAGTTTAGCTCTGTTGAGAAATAATAGATTTCTTGCTATACATTGGAGTTAGACAGACTGTAGAGTTTGTGATTGCTTGCAACGTTAGAATATGGCGGTCGCTAGGGGGTAAGAACAAAAGGATGGGGTGCAGGGCAGGAGAACAACCAACCCCCAGGACAGGAAGCCACGGGTACAAGCGTGGGGGAGGGCAATCAGTCATTGAAATAGGACTTCATAGGACGATCTCCAGATGCATCCAGGGCTGGACTGGGATTAAAAAAATCGACCCTGGCATTTTGACTAAGACCGGTGTTCCAGTTTAACTGGCGTCGCGGATTAACTGGCTTTGGACGAACAAATGTGTTGCAGCACGGGCACGGCTGGACTGGCCATCGGGCATACCCAGCATTTGCCCAGTGGGCCGCCCTTGATTTTTCGTTTTTGTGGGCCGATGGGGTTTTATTTCTTTTCTCTTTTTTACGGTATAAATGAATGGTGGGGGATTGGCCAGTTGGTTATGATCAACTCTGGGCTGGACCAATTACAGCCGAGGAAGTTGAACTAAAGTTGAGGTGAAAAGCAAGGCGGTTTGTCCCGTACTACTTCAGCTAGAAAGCTGCTAATTCAGTCATGAAACTGATCAGTGACCAGCTGATCTGCTTTTCTCTGCGCCAGAAAGAGAAAACCAGCGAGGTCGCATTAAACAACAGCAGCACGTTTAACCCTTGGATGCACAACCTACCAATACCTACACTCTTCCACGAGTGGGGTCAAAAATGACCCCAAATAAAATCAATGCA